ATGTCTTCTGAAAATAGATAAAAAATGTATGAATCTTCAAGCGGATGGAAGCGTTCATTCAGTAAAAGGTGCATTACATTAGTAAACAGTAGATACATTAGTAAACAAAAAAATGGGTGAAAGACCTTAGATTCGATCCGAATCTGCAAACACCGAATTTCTTAATGAACACATGTCGCGGTGATTTTTAATAGAAACGTATTGATGTCACATTGCATTCATGAGATCTCCACAAAAGTAAATGACCAAGAGGTTTTTTCAACCCCTTGGTCATTTACTTTTGTGATATTAACTATGATAAACTGATATTATCTATAATTGATTATCTACTCATCATCATGCTGATTCCTTCGGACGACTCTGGAGATATCTAATTGATGCAAGCCTGGAAAGACGAATCGTGTGTGCAGGCGCTTCTGTTGCCTTATTTATGGAATTCGGGATACATATGACCGGGGAGATAGTGAAACCTCCTGGATATGGGTGAGGCCGCAAACACCTGCATTCAGATTCACGGAATCTTTCTCGAAATCAAGTTCCCAGAACGGTTTATTCCGCGCAACGAGGTTTTTCCCAGGCGGACATTTCTCTGAACTGTCTTATCCAAAGATGGCTTTCGTTGCGAAAGGAAAAAAATCGCCGAGCGAATTTCCCCCCCATGGTTCATTTCTTGAAGGGAAAAGTTAAAGACTGAAGTGCTCTGATGTTTTCCATGCTCTTCTCAGGGCCACGTTTCGACCACGTTCTGACCCTTTTATTCACGTCAGACACGACTGCCGCGACATCTAGCCTGCTCCATGGGAATCGTCGTCTCCCACCATTGAACATACAGGTTGCTGCAATAGAATTTTCACCATTTCAGTATTTTCAGCGAAGCGTTAAACCAACGAAGAAAGCCCAGGCCGAGTTGCTGATCTGAGACACACACAAGTGGAATTTTTCCTTAAGTCACGTCCGTTATGCGTGCGCCAGTTACTTTTCTCTTTCTGGCCGATTCGGTAGGATATGAAAAATTATTTGAAAACGTTACGTCCCCAAGAAATATGAACCCCAAAAACATTTTGGAAATTTGACGTTTGATATTTGAGCTTAGTGCGTCAACCGTCGCGTTCTTGCAAATTTTCAGCTTTCCATGTGTCTCCATTTGATTGAAGCAAAGAGAACTATTTGAAAATATGTTCCCCAAAAAGGTGTGCCCCTATGGCATGTATTACCAAAGTAAAACTTTTCCTGAACTCAGCCGGCGAACCGAACTCATCGTCTCGGTAGGCACGTCCATGCCAAGTTTCAGCTTTCAATGTCTCCCTTTTACTCAAGCGAAAACAATGTTATGGAGGGGGAAAGAGTAACGGGACATAGAAAGCAAAATAAGCCGAATGAGAACCAACGAATGGCCGGGATTTGAACCCGGACCTCCTGATTTCCGGTCAGCTGTGCTACCACTACACCACCGAACCGGAGACGTCTAGTGAAACCTCTCGATGCCATCCTCATCCGTCACAATATATATTTAAATAATACGTTCCCCCCCCCCAAATTGTGTACCCCCAGGGAATGTACCTCCAAAGTCGGATTTTTTCTGAACTCTGCATCCCAAAAGGTACATGTGTGCCAAGTTGCNTGAACTCTGCATCCCAAAAGGTACATGTGTGCCAAGTTGCAGATTTCTAACCTTTCTAGAACATGGTTAGAATTAGCGTCAGTCACGATCGTCTATATACTGTATATTAGACTATATAGGATGACTCGCAGGCCTTCCTGGGGAATAAATTCAGCCCAGTAAAAATCGATTTAATTCTGGAGAGAAATCTGGAGTGCTGGAAGCATGCGGACTCTATCCGGGTTCATGACCATGACGCTGCAGCTTCCAGCTGAAAACGCTCGTGCAGCTTAACGGAATCTCCTTTCAGTCAGGCGTTCATCGCGCTGGAAAATGCCTTCCTCATCGACATGGGCACGCTGGGGGGACAAGCAGACCGGGGTGGATTCGTCTTGGATGAAGAGCGTGGGGCAAGGGGGAAAAGTTGGGGAAAACCCAAGACGCGGTGCAACAAATTTCAGGAAAATTCATATATCGATTTCGCGAAACCTGGGAAGTACAAATTTCCATTTCTAAAGTGGAGCGCGAGATGTTCAGGGGTTTTATTTATTTGTAAGTAAAGGCACACACTAAAGTTATTCAAAAATGTATTTACAACGACAGAAACATGATTTCTTGCGATTTATTTTCCAGCGACAATGTGTTCAGTGCGATCGACGTTTCGACGGGAAAATTCCTCCAAAAAAAATTGTTTCTTTTTTTCATGGTTCCATGAAGTTTTCGATTGTTGACGTTTAGGTTCTTCTTCCCTCCTGTTCAAATTGATTTTAATTGTAGGAGTGTTCCTGCTCGAAGCTAGCCACGTAACAAAAAAAAATCTTTGAGGCGACTTTGAGTGACGGTCACGCTGCAATCGTCCGCCGTGTTCAAAAACGCGTTTAATTGATTATCCCACGGCCGAATGAAAGTTGCGTGAGACAGGCTAGCCAACTGTGAATTCGTCCATCATATTAGATGAAAGCCTTCAACATCTCGTGCGACGTGTATTAAAAATGAAAGCCTCGGGGGATCAAGAAGTGCATTCGAAGCACTGCTTCAAGGATCACCATCTTTTTTAAATAAAAAATTGGTGAATGTGAATCGAGGGAATAGCTGAAGGAAACAAGAAAAAAAAAAAACAAGAAAAAAATTTTTTTTTTACTTTCTTTTTCACAGTGGACGGCCGTTCCAGAGACGCTCGCAGACTACATGGAGCAAGTCTTTCCAGGTTCGATTTCGCTCCGATTTCTTGGAATGATTTTGCTTTGATGAATGTCGGCTCTTCGAAAGTGCCGGCCGGCGCGGCCTTCCTGCTGATCATCACCGTGCCATTTTTTTGCATTAGTTTCTAAACCTGGACTAAATAACCCACGCTGAAAAAATTCGTCGCTCGCATCGCACGCAATCCGTCTCCTTTCCGCGTCCGAACGAGGAAAGTCGATTTTCGTGAAATTCGCTGCATTAATGAGCACATCGAGCGGAAAGCACTCGACCGCCTCGGCAGGATCGGCATGGAGCGGCGCAGGCGCGGATAGAGTGCGATTTTCTTTGGGCCGTGAGGGATCGGCGGAAGAGCGAGGGCAACGTTTCGATTCAGACTCCTTCTTAGTGCATGAACCGTTCGAGGAAGAGGGTCGCGCTCCGTGATTGTTCCGTTATGGGCCCCGATCTCGACGAAAGTTCCGTTGGCTTCGTGTCTCGACAGATAAAACACGAGGTTTGCATCTTCCTCCAAGTCTTCTTCTTCGTCCGATATCCCATTAGAAGGTGCGTCTGACGGGGGCAGCACGTCGATACCCCGGCATCGGCCTGCGTCCGCATGCTTCGATTCGCCTGCGTCCGCATGCCTCGATTCCCCTGCGTCCGCATGCTTCGATTCGCCTGCGTCCGCATGCTTCGAGTCGCCTGCCATTACCGTCTGGGGAAAAAGGACCAGGGTGATATCGGGAAGAAAAAGGAATTCCATTCCCAATACCAAAGCGCACGCGATGGTCACGATGATGCCCAACTTGATGTAATGCCATTCCATATTAATCCTTTCGCTCATATCTTGCGTTCTTCGCAGTCATTCAACCCCCTTTCTGAGTCTTGCACGAATGATTAGAGTGAGATGGCTGGTATGAAATTCGTCAAAGTTGCTTTCGCACATTTTCAGAGAATAAGCAGACACATTTCATTCCTTGCACCTTGAAGGGCTTCCGGATTTTCTACACTGGCAGGTTCTCACACCAGAACCGATAACGAGTTCCATTTTCACTCTTTGGGGGGATTTATTCGAGAATCAAATCCACTGACATGAGCCAGCGAATGCTAGTAGAAATATCTGAAATGAAGGAATCGAATTGGAGTTTACACTTTGAATTTCATGAGATTATGCCGAAACAGAAAGGAAAATGTTGGAAACGGAATATCCTGATCAGAACGAATCCAACCCTCTGTCCGTTTCAATTTTTCAGATGTGGTACTCATGAGCCATTACAGAGCAAGGAAACAAATGTTATGAATTAATGTGAAGACCAATTTTCAATTGCCTTTCCATTCTTCAACCCCCCCCCCCCCCCCTCCCGGGAGTAATCGGCCTACGGCCTTGAAACTTCGACTTTATAAAAATCTCATGCTTTATGGTAGAAATTTTGACTTCCAGGAAGGTGTCCTGTTTCGCGCCGTCACATGCGTCTACACGCTCTCACAAATGACAGAAACTGGTAAATGAAACGAGAAGAATCCTGAAGAAGACCGAGAAGGACTTCCAGGCGATCCTGAAGGAGAACAAGTGAAACGCAACGGGAATCTCTCGGAAACTGGAGGATTTTGAAGCACGAGGACTCGATCGTGACATTTAGTTTCCAGCTGAATGGAATATCCTTTCAGTCAGGCGTTCATCGCACTGGAAAATGCCTTCCTCATCGACATGGGCACGCTGGGGGGACGAGCAGACCGGGGTGGATTCGTCTTGGATGAAGAGCGCGGGGCAAGGGGGGAAAGTTGGAGCTATGGCATCCAAGACACGGTACAACAAATTTCACGGCACAACAAATTTCACGGCACAGCAAATTTCAGGAAGAGTAGCACGTCTCTTTCTCTAAACCTGGAAAGTACTAAACTCCATTTCTGAACTTTAGGATGGAGAACGATGTTTTGTTTCGTTTTGAATCTGTTTTGATGCGTGGAGAGTTACCAGAGGGGTGACTAAGGTTACATGCTGGGGTAAAATTCGCATAATTAAGGTGATCAAAGAATTAAGGTAAAATTAATCATCATCAGCCTTTTTTCGAATTTCTCTTTCTGATTCGCGTCAAGGTGGTTTCCACTTCTGTAGTTATTTCGTCATTCGATCAATGATAAAGACTTATCGGTGACAGTAACCATTCTTGCCGGATTTTCTCACGATTGAGATACATATAGATAAATTCATAGGTGGCTCTCAACGATATATTTGTCCCTTTTCGGAGCCTGATATTTCACCTTCAAGAAGATGAATGAAATGTTGGATAAGAAATGAGGATAACATCGCTTCGATCGCCAGAGAATCTTATAATGGGGAAAAGGAAAGCAGAAAAAGAGAAACGAAGGAAAGGCATTTTAGGGCGCGGGGCACCATATCGCATCGCTGGTATTGCTGTCGATGAAGTCGTCCACGTATTCTGTAAGAAAAATCAATCCAGGAATTGAAATTCCTCGCAAGGGAAAGGTTGGGCGAACGGAGTCGCTCGTCGGACGACCCACTTGATGTCCGCGTGAACACGCCGGTCGTCCAGTACAAGTACCCCGGATAGCAGAGGGAGAAGGACGCCACGCCGACGTTCTGGATGTACCCGCCTGGATTCTGGTACATCAGCGGACCTCCCATGTCACCCTGCGAGGGAGGTCAGTGGACTTTTTGTCAGCGGTCTAGCAGAGAAATCACGTGATTCCATTTGGAATTCCGTGCACTTACAGTGCAGATGTTCGTCACCGCGTTCGCTAACGGCTGGGTGCAGATGAACGACTGGTCGACCTGGGTAAATTGGGTTTGGCAGGCGGCGGTGTCGAGCACCTGCACTATAGCCTCTTGCATGGTCATCACGGGAACCGGAGCCGAGCCTAAATTGCAATTCCGAGTCTCAGAAATGGCAAAACGATTTTCCCCGCGCGATCGGCTTACTGGAAACGTTTCCTCCCCATCCAGCGATGGAGACTTGAGTCCCTGGAGCGGGATCGGCATCGGCGGAAATGCAAATCGGCCGAATATTCGGATAGGCCGTGAAGTCCACCGGAGTCACGAGCTTCAAAAGGGCGATGTTGTTTCTGTAGGTCGTAATATCGAAGTGAGGATGCAGGATGGACGTCGCCTGGACCTCGATGGATGTGCTTTCGGTCGACGTCGACACGTCCAAGTCTCCCAATGTCACATACATGGTTGTAGAGGCACTGAACAGATCGAATTCTATTCGGTAGCAGTCGAAATCCTGAACGATGATGAATTATATGGGAAAACGTAAGATCACCTTTGCTGCACCTGGAAAGCGGAAGTGAGGACGTATCGGTCGTTGATGAGGGATCCCCCAAAGAACAACGTCCGACTCGGATCTGTGATGTGCACCATCCAGGGATACTTCCCCTGATCGGTCACGGGAATTCCTCCGAGGAGTCTCTTGCTGCCTTGGGAGATGCCGCACTCTGAAAGGGAGAACAGCGCAATCTCGAGACGAATAAGTCCCTCATGAATCAATTCTCACCCGATCATTAAGGGCTTCCCCATTCAACGCACGACAAGGATTTGCAGGAGGAGTCGGTGCCGGAGTTGTAATAGGAGCGCTCGATCCTGGAAAATAAAAGCATGAGGAATGAGAGACTACCGTCGTATATTTCGACTGAAATTTCAGGAAAATGAAACGACCTTGACCGCAGGTGACAGTGCACTCGAATCCCCTCGAGCTGTAGGCAACACTATACAACACGGCCGTGAGATAGTTCCCCACATTCACCGGGTTCTGAAGTTCAGTCGACGACGCACACATCCTAAAAATAATGGAATCGAGACATCGGCTGCAAGTGCAGAGCGGCGACGGAAGAGGCTGGACGCTGACCCACGGCCGTTGTAGATGAAGGCGGACCCCACGCACATTATGGTCCACGGCAGTTGGAAATGAGAGCATTGGAGGGTCATATTCACGGGGCACTGAAAAACATCAAATCGTGAATAATTAAATCAAGATTTAAAAGTCCTGCATCAAAATGATGCATCTCTACATCCAAGCATCTATTTGCACAGTGGAGTGTGGTGGAGGGACGCCTAATGGACTAATCAATTTCATGAATCTGGCTTTCTTCTTACGCGGTTCTATGGGTAACATTTATCGATGGGGCAAAATAAAGCACCCTCCATACCGAGAAAAATTAATATTCAGCTCGCAGAGACGTGGTTTAACACCATAGAAGAGTTAGCATGTTATAACAACACCCTCGTATGCTTAATTCTTAGTCTCGGGTCACCGATATACCAAGGTGGCTCGTATCAAGCTGAAGAGTGGGCGAGGAAACTCGAGAAATCGACTGTTAAAGACAATTTCAGCAAATGACGAGGAAAGGTAATATTTTGAATGGAGTCAGCATCGGGCAACCGCCGAGAAGTTATTCGGCTTGAAAGAAGGCATGCTGAGAGCCATAAAATTTGGAGGCAGCGAAAAGAAACATATTTAAATGGACTTGGGGAACCGGATGAATGAAGTCCCAGGGTCCGCCGTGTCTTTGCTGGAATGCGATTATTATCGATACTCTTTTATTATACGTTTGTCGAGGAGCCTGCCGTCAAGGATCAATTTTTTTTTTGCATTCCCTCGGTAGAAAATAAATTTCCGAGATTCGAGAGATGGGAGAATCGGTCCAAGAAAGCACTTTTTACTCCTCAGATACAAAGGATAACGAACCAGTTGGTAGATTTGAGAAAACCTCAAGTCGAACATAACATTTACGAAAGTGGAGAAATGCGGGGCAACTCACTTGAAACGTCCAAGTGCAGTAATGCACGGAAGGGTAATTTTGAGGGTAGTTCATGCTGATGAGGGGAGAGGATTGCCCGCTCGAGAGGATCGTCGAGGTTCCGCATAATGGTTGTTGTCGTTTCTCTGTAACAGGAAGGACTTGAACGTTTTCGGTCACAGTTTGGGCTACCAATGTCCAATGAGTTGCATTTAATGGAAGGAAGGAAGATGATTTTTTGCAGTTATGAAGACTCCTATGGGACGAAGTTACCCCAACTGGCTTCTAGGTGGTCCCCGGTAGTCCAGAAAAAAATCGTCGCAGAGTAAAAAAATTTTCATCGGGTCATCGATAGCTTTTCGTCGACGAGTCTAGAAGCCTCAGTTGGGCCATCGCTGGTATATGTTTGGCTATCGGTTGGTTTAAGCCGGCTTAGGGTCGGGCATGTCCCGTCGGCCCTTCATTGGGTCAACTTTCGCTTATTGTTGGGAAACCGCACATGCCCAAACCATAAGCTTAGTTTTCACAGTGGTGAAAATACTGTGTATAGGACAAAAAAAAAACCCACATAAACTGCATTTACAGCATTTGCATTTACAGCATTGTTGAAAGCCTCTTTTTGGCTTTCAGAAGCGAATTTCCTAAATGAGGGCTAATTATGGAATTGTGAATTGCTCTTATCGACATCTGCATTTCCCCCTATTGATTTGTCCGACTCCTGAATTTTCGGAAGTCTGAAAATAAACTCGCGGAAAATTTCTCTCCATGTTGTCGCTGATGGCTCCTTTAAAGTAAGATTCTGCAGGTGATTAGGGATAAAAAAGAAAACAAGGCAATGCCTATTCTGCCCCTCGACATTTACCACAAGAAGCAGCTGCCGTTCTGCTGAGCATGTGCAGTCGAAATGAAGATTTTTTCCAAAAAAAAGGCCCATGGGATTCCCATGGGAATCCAATAGGTTTTACCAGTTTCAAAAATCGAATTCCTATAGAAAATGTTCGTGAAGTCGGAGCCATACCTAGGAGACCCATTGCAGGCCGCCATGCTCCCACATCTTCAACCATTTCCTCACCCTGAGAATAAAAGACAGGCGATGATTGAGACAGATATACGCACAATAAGGAAAAACGATGGAACTGTCCAATAAAGGAACTTCTCATAACCCACAACCAGGCTTTGCCTTTCTGCCTTCCTTACGCTACGGAACATGGATGAGAATCGGCAGAACCTGAGCGAAAGCGTGGAGCGCGACGGCGAGAAGCACGGCGAAGGAGACCTCCATTTCGCTTCCTCCTACTGCAAAGAACTGCGAGAACCGAACCAGAGAGTCTGATTTATACCCTCAGTTGGCGATCGCCAGGTGCCACCGTGGCGTTCGCGTCATCTGCACGGGTGCGATTCCATCAAATGCGCAGTTGTATATGTTTTCTCACGGGTCATACGCTTGGAGATAGAACAACCAGCAGGAAATGTTGTATGAAAAGCTTGAAAAGTCTGAAATGTGCTGAAGGGATATTTGAATCTCTTATATTATCACTTTTGCCCGATAAGAGTTTCCGATCGCGACGATTTCCTCATATTTGAAAGGTCTCTTGGTTTCCCTTCATTTAGGATAGAACCCGAGAACCCTTTAGAATCTGGACCACAATGCGCATGCGCGTAAGACCCAGGCCTCCCGCGCGGCGCCGTGTCCCCAACCAACGCTGTCAGTACTCTATTAGCCTTCGTGGCGGATGGATGGAACCACGCGCAACCCTCCATCTTCTCATCATCATTTCAAGCGCAGCATGGATAATTTACAAATTCTAGCTGAGAAATGAGATTTTTGATGGTCGAGAACAGGATAGAAATGGCATCTTTTTCAAGTAGGTGGCAAAATGAGGGTCTCCTGAAATTAAAGGAGGCCCACTACTGGAAACGGGTTACACATATTACACGGCCTCGCTCTTTGGGGAATCCTCACTTAAAAAAAAAAAATACAACCGAAAGCAGCGAGGTTTAGATTGGAAATCTAAGTTCCCTCTGAGGAGGAATCGTTCCTCGAGTAAATCCTTCCAAGCAACACTATGGCCCTTTTCCTCACTAGCTAGGTAAGGAACCTCTACGTAACAAAGCTGAGGCGTGAGGCTCCTGGACCGCCTTCAAGCGTTACTACAGCAACAATGTCCGCTAATTCACTCAAGAAGCGGCCCTTAAGAGGGCAACAAGCTGGAGCACGTGATATATATGTTTAGAGTATGCAGCAGCATGAGTAACTGCAGCGGCAATAGCCGGTCTCTACCGTGGCATTGAGCCCACAGGTGCGACTCCCCTTCAAGGACGCGGTTCAACGATTTTCTCTACTGCGTCGCGAGCTCTGCGGATGGAAATCAACAGAGCTTTGAGTTCCCTTAACATTAATAGAAGTACTCGAGGGAATTTATGACACAAGTCATAAATTCGGTAGACCGATATTCGCAGACCTTTCTTTGATCGTTAATTTTTTAAGTTAACGGTTTTAAGCGGACTAATAATTAGTGTATACTACCAGAGAAATATCGCAATATTTCTCCGTTTACCCTAATAAAACCCCAACGTCATTTCTTTTTCTCTCTCTCGGCTTTTTTCGTTAGCTTTTCTTCTCTTTCGCCAACTTACGTTTTCTATAATTTGCTGAAGTGAGATTTTTCTTTCAGAAAAGTACCGAGCTGGTAATCGTCCCATCCCAATGCATTACCGAAATGGAACCACTTGGATAGGATAAGCTTTAGTAGGATAAGGATAAGGATAAGCTTTAATGCTTAGCATTTAGAATAGTAATTAATACGACTATTTTCCCTGGCTCCCACTGCCACTAATTCCTCATTTTGCCCTTCGTTGATCGTTTTCGAAAGCAGCCGAATAATTGTAAAACCGCGATGAATTTTGGAGATGTCCTCATCCGAAAACTGAAAAAGTTCAACTAATTTCTAGTAAATTTGTATCGGCTTCTCAATCGGGTCTGCCCGCTTGCCCCGACGCAGCACGCGTTTCGATCGGGAAGCGAAAAAAAAAAACACGAATTCGTATCGTTTATTTTCCACGCAACCTTGACGAATTCCAGCTGCGTCCCTGCAAACGGCTCGGCAACAAGTGCAGGCAAAACGCATTCGGGACGCGCACGACCTTCTTCTCGAATCGAGAAATAATGGCAATTGACAGAATGGCAACTTACTAATAATCGTTCTTGACAGAATGGCAGGAAATAGAAGGGTCCAACGTGTGACCCCCAATCAAACATTTTCGTTGGTCTATCGTCGGACCATTTATGGGGACGTTGGCTCCTTTTCGACGAATGATTCGCCGGCCAACTCGCACTTGTGAGTTGGCGAATTATGATTGTCGTCCTTGGAGTGGTCGTCCTATATTGTTCATCGTAGTGATTGTAGGAGCATGGGCAATAATTTCAGGCGTAGTATTAATAGTCGCACTAATAGTCGTGACTGAACCTGCAAAAAAAGTTTATGGCATTCTTTCATCGTGCGAATGGAGACATACGAGTAAAGAAGCGAAACAAATCCTGCACGTAACGGTGCAATTAAATCCCCTCGAACTTTACACAAAACCATGCAGCGCCGCAGTGACATAATTCCCCACCTTCACCGACTTCCGAAATTCGAACCCGACGGAAATTCGAACCCCACGGAAATTCGAACCCGATGGAGTCATCGCCCCCGGCGGTTGTAGACGAAGGCAGACCCCACGCACATGAAAGTCGACGGCAACTCGGAACGAGAGCATCGGAGGGTCATGCCCACTGGGAACGGGAGGTGCAAAAAAAATTACTCCAAGAATATTATTGAAAATTATTCCAAACATATAATTAAAATTGATAACAAAATTATTGTTAAAAATTATTCCGAAATATTATTTTAAATTATCCAAAAAATTATTGTAAATTATTATAATTGAAACCTGAGAATCACACTGCCCATCGAATCTCCTTCCCAATTGAGGAGTGTGAGGAAGGGTTTTCATATTGATGTCTCATCACTTCGGTGATACGAACAATGCGATTTCAATTTAATTCCGAACAATCATTGGTTCTCATTACGCTCATTGACTATACATTTTGTGGATAAAATTTGCTCTAATAGCGAAAAATTATCCTAATTTCAGTTCAGAGGACCATAGGGTTTAGAGTGAAGAGGAAAGAAAGTATGAATTTAGGAAAAATTCAGAGGTATATGGAAATATTTGGACCGAGTTAAGAGGAGAAACTTTGGATTTCACCATCGTCTCTAAGATCGGAATCGAATCCTATTAATTGCAAATACCGTTTTGAGAAGCGATAATGCACTTTTCTCTCGCCCATGCAGCTGCATCGCCTCACCCTAACCACGGCCGAACGAAGGGGTAAAAAAAAAAAACTCGCCTCGAACGTTCAGCTACAGTAGCTTATGGAAGGGTAGTTCATGCTGATGAGGGTAGTTCAATTTTGGGTAGCTCAGGCTGATGAGGAGAGACGATTCCCCGTCCGTGTGGCTCGTTGTTGCCACTCTCGGTTGAAACGCTCCTAATTTGGGGATGACATGATATTTTTTGTCATTTGCAATCGATACTTGACTGCAGGTCTACTATTGAGAGGAGCTGAAAGCGGGTAGTCATGAAGAGCGATGAAATTATTCAATAGTTTTAGTTTATCAGCAGGATGCGAGTTTGAAACCAGAAGCGAGGAATGGAATACAAAAAATCGGAAGAATATCTGGATTCAGCCTGAGGGAATATTTTGTCGACCCGTGAAAATTGTACCGGATTGCATTTACATTATTTTCCTTTCTCTGAATGCACGATTGGGGTCAATGGCTTCGTGGGTTTCGCAGGCGGCCGCGAGATGGCGCCTCTCTCGCCGCACGTATGGCAAATATTGAGACGATTTACTTTTTCGTTGATCTTTGGTGACACTCGGCGAGAGCGGATGACTTCCCGCAGATCTTTTAACCCTTTATCCGGAAATGTCCCTGATTTACCGCCAAGTGGAGGTGCTTGAGAATTGTCCACCGAGTAACGGTGCACATCGTCAAGGTAGGAGGAGCCTGCTGGTAACGATTTGCCCCGGCGAGCTGATCCTTTAGAAGCGGAAAGCTACTTCGGGAGCAGAAGTAGAAGTCTGTGGAAGATTGAACAAAATCTGGATGTCCTTACAAGATTGGGCCACTCATCAGCTGCAAAGCGTGGAATCGCGTCTCATCGCATATCACGTGAGTCAACTGACCCGACCATCTATTGCTGAAGTGACTTCCCAAACCCTGGACATTGGGAAGATCATCCCTCGCCTATTGTCGGAGGTAATCCTAATCGGCCGCATTCTGTCTGGGGATTTTAATTTTGCATGGAGCGAATTATCTTCGGAAGATGAGTAGTATGACAACACAACGTACTGCAACTTCGCATCCACATGGACCTGTGCCCGAACTAAGAGGTACTCGGTGGAAACACTGGATTTGGAAGAGGTCCCCATTTCCTTCCTGCACGAAAACCATCATGCTGAGGAAAGCGAGTACGTGAATGTGGAGGAAGAGGACACAATGGAGCTCTCGCCGTCAAACTTACATCAAGAGCCTGCAGGGGGAACAAAGCCGCTTGGATTCCACGGAGACGTGCAAGAGCTTGACTGACACGAAGAAAGCCTGGGGGGGAGGAAGAGGTAATTACAAAGGTCGCCCACGCCATTCTTCAGCAACACCTGAAAGGAGACGAAAAAGTCGACTCCTGAGGAAGAAGAAAGCAGACGAGAAAACTCACAAGGGAATGCCTCTACTTCTATCCTCAAGGGCAACAACCATATCCTGTCAAATGCAACGGGAAGCAGGGCCACCAAGAGGAGGGGGGAGGAGGGGGGGGGGGGGGGGGCAAAGGGGGCAATTTGCCCCGGGCCCCTGGAAACCTCTGGACGGCCCTGATGGGAAGGTCTTGTCTAGGAATCAGAAGAAAGGATTCATCTGGATTACTTCAACAAGGACTTCATTTCCTCTACTTACCTCGACAAAATACTACAGAATGAAAACACCTCAATGAAGTGCCCACCTGACAAGGTGCCCACTCGAGAGAGAATGAAGATAGATGAGGCGTCTGATAAGGCCCTGCCGGCCAACTGGCCCTCATTTCTTGTTCTGTTATTTTGCTACTATGCAATGCATGTTTTTGAAGAAAAAAATCCTTTATGGTTCCAGAAAGAATGCAATGCATATCACCCTAATTAGGGAGTCTTATCCACCCTCCTCGAGAGAACCGCCGGAAGAGCTCCTAGAAGAAGTGTCGATCCTACTCCCTCCACCTCTCGACTCACTGTAGAGCCTATGGGTGGGTTCTTGTGCTCCCTTTTAGCTGCTAACGGGCTTTCAGTCCTATGCTGGCAATGGACCTAAAAGCCCTTTTAGGGCTAAAAGGGAGTACAAGAACTCACCCTTAGGCTCTAAGCGTCCGAAAGGAACCAGTTCTGCACCCCTCGCCGCGACATTTAGGAACCGTTTTCCAAGTCTTGCTCGAATTTCGATAGAGCCACTCACCCTTAAGGGCAGTTGTTCTGAACCGATGGGCCGCGGAGGCGCTGAGGGTGGGTCGTGACAAGTATCCGTAAATCTAAAAAAAGGAACAGTTAGACGAACAATAATTTCGCTTTTAAGTCTGTAGGGGGCCGCGGATCACTATGCAGGTGTTAAGGTGAGCCGCAGGATCGAAAAGGTCGAGAAAAACTGCTTTAGGGGACAAGTCGCAGGTGGACCCTGCCGCTGGAGCGTCGATAAGCATAAGGAATATTCTCAGATTAATTGCTAGCCGATCTTAGACCTACCACTTCGCTACACGAATTTCTAGGTGGAAGAACATTTAAACAATCCGATGTGTCTCGGATACCGCCTGAAAAATATTTCTCGGATAGGGTTTGATTGCCCACGCGCCTGCAGAATTTCCATGAAACGGCACAGATCTGAAACGTTAGATTGGCACGGAGGAAATGGGGTCGCTCCAGAACTTAGGTTACACAATAAAGAACCAACTACACCTTACGAATACATTATCTATGGTCTAAAAATAAGGGAGTTCCTGCATGAACCATTCTAGTCAGTTGCCGTGTAATGTTCTAATACTGAAGTACACCCAAGACTAGAACTCAGGACTGAGTTGCCAGACCCTGAGAGCAATTGTGAACACTACATCACCCCACGAATGCTCGGCAGAAACTAATTCAATGTCATCGGTTTCGTTGGGACCAGCCTCTCGGGGACGCGCTTCGATTCCCACGATCTCTTCGTTGTAAAGTGCCAAATTTCAAGAGTCCTTTCCGGTTCTGAAGGAAATAAAACGAGCTTGAAAAGAGCTAGAGCTCTAAACGTTGCTTCGAGTGGTGTGAAATACCGATCGTGGGAATCGATCTCCGCGTTTGTCTGCGACCAAGCGCCACCATGACTTCCTTCGCTCTGAACCTCGCGACCGACATTGACCTGCGTTGTCAGGTCTTTGGTGATGGAGACAATTCAAAGGAGAAGATGCGATCGACTCCTCAATTATCGCTAATTTCTGGAATGAAAAGAGGGCTTTGCTTTACACGAGATTCCTTTCACAGACATCGACAAAAAATTCACCACCACTTGGGAGATTTCTGGTATTTTCAAATTTCCCATGACCTTCCTTAGAATGAAGTACGGAAAGAGGTTCACAGATTCATCATTCACAGGCAAGCAAGGGGTCACATAAAAAATGAATCCACTTAACTGAAATTTTGCATTGTGCTGCAGGAATCGCAGGCGATTCATTATCCAACCCATTAAAACTTTCACGTACAAAGGTGACAGGGTGAATAATTTTTTTTTGTCATACTTCATGGAGTGAATCTTAAGGATTTTTATTTCCAATTCATTGGAACCATCTGCTGTTTACAACTATAATTGATTTACCCCTTGCTATTCAACCTGTACAGCTGAAATATAGAACTTTTTGTTTCATTTAACTTCAGACTATAACCAATTCATATGAGAGCAGGGAATAAAGCTAAAAGCTTTACAAGGGGCTTCAGCTGCAAAGGAATTCATTCGCTACAGAAATTACAAAGAATTGGGACCAAGGAAATAAAAAACAAAGGATGGACTGAGAACAAGGACTATACAGATATTTTATATTCCAGGAATCAATCAAGAAATAGTCATCATATTTCACCTTCAAAAATCACTTGTATGCCATAGTGACTGAGGAAAATGAGGGTTCAACAAGTTCAGCCAGTTTACCTCCAAGAGTCATGATCTTCAAAAAAACGGGAGAGATACTAAAAAGATCACCAAGACTCACCTGAGACAAGAATCTCCTTCACCGTCTTTACCTTAAGACATGACCAAAGAAATCAATCTGAATTTTAAGACTAAAAGAAATCATTTTTCATAATCTTAACACCAAAAATGCAAAAACTATTAAACATCATCATGCACTTTCTCCAACACAGTCCATGACAGGTAAAGATCATAAGAACAGAATTTCAACACCCCAATGCAAATTCATCTTCCAACACATGGAATGAGTCTCAGCAGTCCCTGAACTGAACTGGTTGAGAGCTTGCCAGAGTAGAAAGGGTGACTGTGAACTCACTGGATCCTTACACTGGGCCTAGTGCTGCTCTTCACCATGTAGTTTGGCAAGTTGCTCTTCTACTGTGGGCTCCAAGCCCCCCTGCTCAGGAAGTTGCACATATTCAATGACGTACTCGGCGTGTCCCATGTCGTCGGTCTGCACCACTTCTCCGTGCTCCATGCTTGGCACCACGTGTCCGTCTTCGGTCACGATCAGCACGCTGGAGGAGAGGTCACCCATGCCCATGATTGGGTGCACCAGGGATCTCAGCGTCTCTGTGGGCGACGTCGTCACAAACGTGACCACGGGTCCCTGGTCAGACATGGCAGTCGTCTGAATGCTCGACACAACCGTTTCCAGATCCCCAGAGACAGCAGTTATTGGTATTCCTGAAGAAACAGTAGCTGGGATCCCTGATACAACAATAGCTGGTACCCCTGATGCATTTGATAATCCAGATACTATGGCATTTGGCTCTCCTGTGAAAACAGTCCTTGGCTCTGCCATGACAAAGCTACCCGACTGACTCGACGTGACAAATGTCATTTCTCCTGATAAGGATTCTAATGCTGCCCCAGCATCAGATATTGCAGTCAGAATTTCCGATTCTGATGCTACTGACTGCTGCCCAGATTCAGATAATTGTGTATGTCCCAGTTCAGCAGATGTAGATTCAGTTGAGAACTGAACCAGGGTCTGTTCTGGAATGGCCACAGCTTGCAAATGTTCCAGGACTGGATGCTGGTTGTGTTCATGCTCTTGTTCATTGACTTGTTGAGTAGGTGCCTCCCCAGATGAATCTACATTCTTCAAATCTTCATGAGCAGAATGAGATTCACTGAATTTGTGCTGATCAGAGACTTCAACATTGTGACCTAGTAGTGGGCCTCCATCTCCCAAAGAAGTTTGATGGCAATGAGCCACAGAAGAAGCCATCAAGTGATCATGTCTCTTCTTTGGTGGCCCCCGGACAATCTGTTGAGGTTTTCCTCTCATCTCATTAACCTGAGACAGGTCAGCATCTGGGTCATCTACTGCCAAAGAGGTTGCAATGCCACTGGCCACCTTGTCAAGTGCCTCAGACTCAGATGATGGGGTCATGGATTCAGGAGGGGAGATCTTCTCCGGACTTTCTTGCCGCAATTCTTTGGGGTGCTTGGACCGCATATGTGCTTTCAAGTAAAAGCTCCGGTTGAACATAAGGGTGCAGTGGGGGCAAGGGAACTTAGTCTCTTTATGTCCTTTCTCTGATGAACAAAGTTGAGCTTTGACATGCCCATCAAGGGCACCACGGGTGTTGAAGCGAGCTCCACAAGTGCCACATTCATGAGTGACCCCATTTTCCCTCTCACCCTCATTGATGGGCTCGGCCACAACCACAAAGCGACACGTGATGCACTTGACGTGTGTTGTTGCTTCAGGAAGTTTGGTGTCAAACTTGACCAAAGGTGCAGTGACAGTGCTGAGCTTCCGAGGAGCATATGTGCCACAACGCTCACACACCGCAGTGATCTTTGACTTGTGGTAATTGAGGTAGTGTGCACGAAGAGCAGGCAGGTTCTGGTACATTCGCATCTCATTCTTAGATTGACATGTGTGACAAATCCAGTCGGTGCCAAACACCTTCATGGAATGGGGGTTTAGAGATGCTCCAGACACATCTGACTGGGAATCAATCCTAGATGATGACATCTTGGGGCTTTGAGGCACTGACTGCAGAACAAGATAGGCTACCTTGTTCTTGTCAGCTGATTTCTGAATGCGGCGCAGCTCATCAGCACTCATTGTTTTCTCCACAATCTTAACTTTGGAGCTGGGGTAGCTGGGCTTCACAATGCTGCCCAGTGTTGGGTATTTCTTGGCGACCTCATGGACAATTTTCTCCCGGTCAACGTGACTCAAATTTGGAGATGGTGTCTCACTGAACCGTACTTTCTTTGCAGTGCTCCCCGAACTTTTCTTCAGAATTGATTTGGTGCTTTCAGGCTCAGGAGTATGCATTTCTTCAGGTCTGCAAGGTGTTTCTTCCTCTTCCTCACCTGAGCTCTGGTCACCAGAGTCCCGCTTCATGACTTTGGCAATCTGCTCGGCATTCATCTCTCCCTTTCGCTTGCGCAGTGAAGGGATACGAATGACATCGGAACGTGAACCTGGATCAGGGTTCTCTGGTGTGTAGTCAATGGGTACAACTGGTGGTGGAGGGGGTGGTGATGGTTTTGGAGGAGTCACCTCAACCTCCTCCATGGGCAATGGTGGGTCATCCACTTCCTCTGCCTCTCGTATATCAGAGAACAGACCACCTCCATCACATCCTTCCATCTTCAGGCTGTCAGGGAAAGAGGAATTGTTTTTAAATAACTGAAACTGACATTGGCTTTGCAGCCTATAATAGGACTTTCCAGTCTGAAGTAAGAAAAATGCTCTATACTACTTGTCTTAACTGAAGGATGATCATAGAAATGCCTCTAAAATTGGCAATAAAAACTTATCATATAGTTGGTATTAAAAAAAATGGGTTCCTGGGAAGAAAAATGACCACTAGCAAGAATACCATATTAATAATAAATTTAAGAATTGCCAATATATGGTTTCCATGCATACTGACCTTGAAGAAGTTCTGAACTGGGAGGCCTTAAAACCTGATCCTCTTCCAAACAGAGGGATGAAGGGTTTCATAGTGTTGGCAGGATGACGCACCTTAGACTGAAGCACCTTTGGTGGACTCACCTGGAATCTAGCTCTGTGAAAACCCAAAAAAGAGGTTATGCAATGAGAACCATCAATTTCGCTAGACAAGGTAGGCAAACATGATGGGATGAATACAGACTGATCTAAAGCAGGGGATGCTGGTGAGGCAATGGCTGCCTGGGGGGATCCTGTCGAGATCCGCTTACGAGATCCCAGAAAGTGAACAAGGATGTTGATCTGGAGAAGTTTGGCCAGCTCATGGATCCGATCATAGGTTTCATCACGTATATCCAACTTCCCTGTATACATGAACCTAGGGAGACAGGGTTGTAACAATAAGGCCCTGGTTTAAGGGAAATTATATACCATTTTAGACCATTGCTAAAATTTTGGATTAAGCCTTGTCCTCTATGTAATTTAAAATTCACAAGGGGATTTATCTCAGTTTCCTTGAGCTCAGAGTAGAAGCTTGAACCATCTCTTCACAAAAAGAAACAAACAAAACCATGTATTGACCCTCCACAAAGGGTGCCATACAAATTTAAATGAGGGGATGAAAGTGTAGGAGTAAGAAAGGAGATGTTAAAATAGGAGTGTTAGGTAGCTGGAGAGAAGAAGTGTTCAGCATGCACTCCAGCACTCTTTAAAATGTTTTCCAATTTTCATAACACAATTTTAAATCAATTGCCTCAAAAAATAAATCTCCATATGTGTAATTCAAGGCTCTAATAATCACTCCACAACCATGAAAGCAGTGATATTTCAAAGAATACTGCTGAAAGCATTAAGCCTACTCATGATACCAGAGCAGCAGCACAGGAACCTTCACTTTGTTTTTGGAGAAAAAAGTTGGTGTATTGTTCAGAAGAGCAGAACAATGGAAACAAACCTAAGGATAGCAGTCAAAGATTCCTCATCAGCTTCAGCTGGAAGATGATATAATGATGTTCCATCTTTCAGCCTCTGATATGAATTGTCAAAGTAGGGACTGCAGGCAAACAGGATGAGGCTGTGGGCCTATTATGGGAAGACATTTACAAAGGCTTAAAAGACTGATAAGAACATCATACATTCACATTGATATTTGGGAAAGCCTCACTTAATGTTGAGGCTGAACCATAGGCCTGGTCTATACAAATAAGGGATTTAAAAAAAATGATGAGGTTAACATTTCACTTACCCGAAAAGTCCGTCCATCTGTGAGTTGCAAACTGGCATCACATTTGGTTCCTTCTTCAAATAAGGAAGTAAGTCGTTGAAGAACATACGAAGACCAGTTGTCAATCTTCAATGGCTTCATTCCTGAACGTGGTTAAAAAACTTAGGCCAAGGGCCTATGCCAAAAAACTAAGAAGCCAAGAGTGTCTCTTGGCAAGTTTTCTCTGAGAGTGGAGAAAAAGAAAAGATAGAGTAACCGAACAGATAAATACAGTCTACTGGATAGGTGTGGTCAGGGGAAGGGGTGTACAAAACCTTAGTTTCTATCCTAGAATAGGTGGCTATATAATTTTACCATGCAAAATGAAGTCAGCATTTTATTTTGTCAAACCTTAAAGTTGCTAGAAAAGGAAGCCTATGGCCTGGGTATATTTCTGCAGACTAGTAAACATTTTCTTCATCTCAAAATAAATTGTCTCCCAAGCTAATAAAATGACCTGCCATCATACCAAGTCACAAACATTGGCAAAGGCATGAAAAGCTATGAAGTTTCAGAACTAACAATTGACCAACAATAAATGTGCATAGTTTAAAGGAAGCACTAAGTAGAGGTGACAGCTTGCCAGTAACTCCAAAGCATGATTTCCCATATTCACTGTTTTCAAAAATGGAATGTTGTATGAAGTAATGGGTAAAAAAATTTAGTATTTTCATCACACTGAGACATTTCAGCAGTATCACCTGGTTGTGGGAGCTCTAGCATTTCATCACACAACCAACTCATAAAAAATAATCATTGCAATGGATCAACTACAGTGGTCCTCATTTCGATGGATGGTTGGTGAATCACATGCTGAGGAAAAGTTTGACTGACTCAAAGCTCCTTGTAGTGCAAAGGTACACAAGAACATAGACCCACACAAGGTCAAATTTTTACAGTGAAATTTGACAGCTAGAGTTCCAAAGAGAAACTTCATGAGGGCAAGATATTTCTTGATTTAAAAAAAATATTTAACCATAGTATCAGAAAACTGCTGACTGAGTAACAGCAAAACTTAATATTTCTCAAATGTTATCATGAGCAACAAAAAATATACATTCCCACTCCACTCATAAAATAAGCCTATAAATAAAACCCAATTTACAATCTCTTAAAACCTCAAACTACTTCACTTCTCAAGTCCAAAATGAGGACTTTGAGCTGTAGCAAGCCAATAAAGGCATGTATTTTTGTTTGGTCTTGGCCCAAAAAGCTTCAAACAGCTACTGAACATTCATATTGAACAGTTATACTGAAAATACTTATTCCTCATCAAATTGAAAACAAAATCCAAACTGAAAGTCTACCTAATCTGCAGATAATTAAATACAGCCAATACTAAATGTAAAAGTTTAAGGTATGAGAAACTTAGGTCTGAAAAGTGCCTTGTATTCAGAATTTAGATTGCACATGTACATGATCTTCTTCAATGGATTGGAAAACTATTACCAAGGACAAGAGCTCTCAAGAATCAGACTCTAATTAAACATTTAGGATATTTTTGGCCTTCAAGATAAATCAATTGCAAGAAACCAAGTGTAATGGGTTACAAGTTTTGGTTGGTCTAAGCATATGAGAGGCATAGATAAGGTGACCAGCCATCCCAATTTCAGATCACCTGTCCACGTGTCCTTCCATTGAACTTGCAGTATTAATACCAGTTCTAGGTCATATTTCAAGGACAATAATTGACAATACAATTACTCATATAATAATACATTCATATTCTTCTTAAAGAGGCAAGGGAAGTATTTATTGTTCAACCCACGTTCAACCCACCCACGAGACAGAAATCTGATACACCAATATTTGAATATTGGAACACCAACACTATTGAAAGTCTAACAAATGCCATGACTTACAGGCCCCAAAGAAGACTTCTCAAATGCGAAGCACAAAAAGTTAAACAGATGGAGGTTGCGAGCGGTTCGCAAGTGACGAAGATACATGAAATTTCAGGCATGAAGTGAATTACTGAAATCAACCGTGCTGGGCTAACATAACCAAACCGGACCATAGGTTTTGGAAACACTTCAAATACTCTAATGCTAAAATACGAAGGGTTTCATGGACACATTTCAGGGAATGGCCCACGTGGCTCAATCCTTCGAGAAAGCTCATCTTCTTCGCAGTTAGGGGAAGATTTAATGTCCCAAATCGTGCAGGGCCGATTTTCTTACATCTACCACAGGTCTTCGTATTGCCGATTAAGCCTTTGCATGGAGAAGGGTCGAGAAGCAAGGATAAAAGGCTTCACGACCTATCACAGACCCCTGATCAACTTAGGCCAAGAAGTTGAAAGCCGACTCGAGCGAACTCCCCCATGCTCTACGGCACTCTCAGTGTCATGGCGGAAAAAGCCAGCTTCTTCCGTTTCCATCGACAGATGTCGCTAGTGCGGGATCAAGATGGCAGCCGTCATAGGGTAGCGTGCTTAGCAATGAAGCGTGAAGTTTGTGATGGAACCCTTTGAAACATATGGAGTGAGCCAACTGTAATCCATGCTTTGAAAACCGAAGAACTTTTTGGCTTAATTAAATATTGTCTAAGCTTGACTTGGTGGTTATATGTATCTCTCTGATAAATATTCTGAAAGTGGTGCTCTAGAATCGCGTTTTTCCTCCAGCCGTTAGTAAAATGTAATGATAAAGTTCCTGTGTCTTAAAAATATATGTATTGTCTCTATCCCTGAACTCTCAAAGCAATTGGAAATTGGTATCTATTTTTGGTTCACAACCTATGCCTGAAAGGTCTTAATATGTTGTGCCCCCATTAAGATGGACAACTTGCCATTGTTAGCACGCAATACTACATGCATCATCTTCAGTATTGAAGGGTGTAGTGCACGCCCAAGTAAATAATTCAGAATTTCGAAATCTTCTGTGAACCATCTACAATATCACTGAATAATATCTGTGCATTTATTATATGTTGACCAACCTCACCTCATGTTTTTCCTCAGTTGCTTGCTAATCTGCTAGTTCCTGTCTAACAATTCATGTATTGACCAACATAGCTCACTCATTCTCTGACATGGCACTTATAAGGCTTTCCTTCTATCCTTTCCCATCCCACTACAAAGAATGAAGGTGCTGATATTGTGCCTTGTGAATGTTTCAAAATTATAATAGGCATAGGTATGAATAGGTTTGAAATCATGGTTCTACAGAGCAGTTATTTCAGTTCATTAGAATATATCGTGGTTTTGATCATATCTGTTTTAAGGGGAGCTATTACTTTTGACCCCTCTTACAGAAACAGGCTTTTACTACTCTCAAGAGCCTATTTTCCCCTGAAATATAGGCTTATTGAGTCTGGTTTCATCTCACATCTTCATTGAATTTTTTTTTCTGTCTTTTCCCTTCAGTTCAGCAGGTTGATCCAGTTGAAGCAAGGATGTTTTGTGGTTTGCTCTAGATATTGACGCTTTGGAGGAAAGTGAACCTTGGCCTTCTCTGTAATGCATAGAATCTCTTATAGAAATTCACAAATGTTTCAGTCAGCAATGAAGCCCTTGAAGATCGAAAACTGGGCATCATACATCTTGCAGCGACTCATGTCCTTGTTGGAGAAAGGAACCAAATGTGATGCTGTTTTGCAGCTTGCAGATGGGAAGTCATTCATGGTGAGTTTGAAAAAAAGTTGCAATAGTTTGGTAATTACTCTGCATTCTCAAATTTAGCCTCTTGGAATTTTTGTTTAATTCAGCAGAGGCGAAGAAAAGCAGATGTACAAAGTGGTATGATACTCCTGTGTGATAGTAATAAGGCTGCATGTCGTGAAACCTTTTTGTGCAGGGCTATTGATATTATAGTGTTATTGATATGCCAGTGAGAACTTTAATTGCCTTTCCATGCTCCTTCATTCTTGGATTGTAATGTTCTCCCTCATGCGAAGAATTACAGAAGCTAAGATGGTGATGCTGTTCTCTCAGATACACATAAGATTGGTCATTTGAAGTTCAATTTCTTTGTAGCTCAATAGGCCCTTTCTTACTGATTCATGAATCTGACATATTTCCCTTTGCAGGCCCACTCTCTGATCCTGTTCACCTGCAGTCCCTATTTTGACAAACCACATCATAAGCTCAATGATGGGTCATCAGTATTTCTTCTACCTCCTGAGACTGATGATGAGTCTCTTGTTGCCATCCTCAGGTGCATTTGTCATTTCGCTTTTGCAAGATTTGACTTTTTAAATTTAGACTTTGGTCAGCAAAAAGTTTGGTCGTTCTCAGAATGAATAGTACTTCAAAAGTTCATTGTTGTGCTCATGAGGCAATGTCACCTGTGTGCAATAATAGTTTAAATTTGCCCTGACATTAGATGATTCACCCATAGGTTCATGTACACGGGGAAGCTTGACATCTCCCATGAGAATTTCACTCGGATTCACAAACTGGCCAAGATTCTGCAAATGCACATTCTCGTCCAGTTTCTGGCCTCGATCAAACGTAGCCCGGTGGCATCGACCCGAAGTCCTCAGGTGCCCAAGAGTGCTCATACTGCTGATATGTATGTCTTCCTTAATCTCACTTTGACTTCTTCCACTTTTTATTCCATGCATCCAAGTAAATTAGGCATGCCACTACAATCATATATATTTTTGTTTTCAGGTGTTGAAGGCATGGGCTTAAGATATGTTTGCACACAGAAATTAGCATGCAAATTTGCCTTAGTCATTGAATTGCTTTGTTTCTGGATGCTTCATGGCATAAGTTCCTGTTTGATTCTCATTCTAACACTTAGTTGATGCCATACAGCTTGTGTCAAATGTCATTTTGCTTTTGTTTTCTTTTGCAATATTTCTCTGAGACAATATAGGTTTTATTTTAGGTGAACCCTTGTAGAATCTTTTGAAGAGAAGTCATAGAGTGTAACTATTTGGACAGTATATGTTGGCTTTACAAAAAAATTAGGTAGGAGTAGATCCCTAAAGAAAAGGCATAGATGCCTTGAATGTCTCAGTAAAGTCCAGCATGGTATTATGACATCCCATAAGAGATGCTACATAGATGCACATTGGGTAATGTTGCATTCTGTACTGCTTCTTGCATTTTTGTTAATGACTGCAACAGTCTTCTCTGAATTCATTGTTCCACAACATAGTGAAACCTGGAAGTCAAACCCAAGCTCTTCAGCAGTTTCTTGGGTGAAGATATGGCACTCATAAGGAGTTTTAGTCAATAGCACCCATTGCAAGCTCATATTTAGGTGCACAATCCTTTATTTAGGTTTGTAAGACATATATATTTATACAGTTTTAGACTTCGCTGAAGGAAATAACTTCTGGTTTCATAATATGCCTTCTGTTTACCTAGAGTGCAATATACAGATTTAGGAGCAATATGAATAGGGACTTTCATGTTTCCATAGGTGTACAAATTCCATGTGAACTACATGAGGCAATTCTGAATACCTGTATTGAGTGGTGATTCACACATTAAGATGCTTCAAATCATGCCTTGCTTTTTGACGAGTAAGGGAATAGTCCAATTTTTCCTATATCTGCCTGTTTTTCATGGGCCATATATAATATTTAACAATGCCTCACTTGAATCTCTATTGCTATAGATTGCTGGAAATTTTTTCACATGGATCAATGTTTAAAAGAAGAGTAATCCTGATAGGATAAGATATCTCTAATTTCCTGAGGGAGTGCCTGTCAGGTTTGCATGGCAAGTGATGTTACATTGGCATGGTGTTGTTGAAATTTGCAGGCTTTAGTTGAATTTTGAAAGATAAGTTCAATGCCACATCTAATATTATCCTCAAAAGTGTCCAGTTCCTAAAGGCATTCATGTAGAAAGATGCAGTGAAAATATATTTTATTGTTCTAATGAATTCCTTCATGAATTTCTTCTGAAAGGTACATGTTCTCACTCTCCCCATTCTCATTCAGGGGACTTATGCAAGTCTTCAACAGATATTAATAAGCATATTTGTATCCATTTTTTCGCAGGATGTGGTATATCTCTTAACTCATTTAGTGCCCTTTCTGCCTATCTTTTTATTTCCCAGCATGAAGACACAGTCTGTAAGAAGTCAGCCAATGGATGAGAGTCCTTGTCACCCACCAAAACCATCACCCATCGACTACATGCCAGAAAACCGAGACCAACCTCCAGGTGTCATTCGCATCCCTTCTCTCCGCAAGCGTAAAAGGGAAATGAATGCCAAGCAGATCACGAAGGTCCTGGAACGCCACCCAGATGACTCACCCTCGGGTGAAGAGGAGGAAGGTGAGGAGGAGGAGGGCAAGGAAGAGGAGGATGTGAATGATACCCCAAAGCAATTGTTACCTCCACCAGTGAACTCAAAGAGTCATGTGCCTGGAAACACAAATTCAGAGACTCCAGGGACTATAGCAAAGAAGATGCTCATAGTCAAGACACCATCGCAAAACCTCGGTCAAGTTGACCAAAAGAAAATTTTGACTGAGATTGCCAAGCAATTCCCTAAGTTGGGTGGAATTGCAAAGCCTGGTTCTTCTTCTTCAAAACTGAAGATTGTGGAAAGGAGAATGAGTGCCGATGAACTTCGCCACATTCAGCAATCAACAGACAAAAAAAATGTGGCCTATCTTGTGCTCTCACCAGACTCCCAGCATCCCAAAGCCCCATCACAAAAGACCGAATCACAGTCGGGGCCATCGAAGACGATCCCAGACCTCCTTTCCATGAAGGCATTTGATGCCGACTGGATCTGTCGGATGTGTCAACAGGAACAGAATCAGTTGAGGGCATACCAATCCCTGGCTGGCCTCCGGGCACATTGCCGCGAATACCACAGTTCAAAGATAACTGTGGTGTGTGAGCGATGTGGCATTTATGCACCCAAGAGGCTCAGCACCATCACTGCACCTTTGATCAAGTTTGACACCAAATTCCCCAAGGGAAGGAGATGTAAGAAATGCATCACCTGCCGGTTTGTGGTAGTTACTGAACCTTTCACTGAAGGGGAAAGTGAAATTGAATGATTGGAGTTTCATCTCTTTATAAACATGCAAAGTTCAAAGTTCTTCAATTTCATTTCAGTTATTTCTCATTGATGACATGAATTATTAGGATGTGGTATACCTCATAACTCCTGATAATGAATTATGTGAGAGACATGATGTCAAGAGTGAAATTACGATGACAGCAATATAGAAATTGTGTATTTGGCACCTGTGCTTTCCACAACTGTTAATTCAACGTCAAGAAGACGTACAATTTCATTCAGAGACTTTACATTTGACTCCAATTCCAAAAGATGCAGACTTAAGGATTTTTTTCCATCATTCATGCTGAATGAAGATTGGCTCTTTATACTTTCAGACAGGAGGGGACTTGATCTGGTTCTGGTGTTTCAGTAGCAAAGGATCACATTTGTGGGTTACATTCCAGTATGGTGCATCACTTTCAAAAGCTTTCTGAAACTCTCAAGGTGCTATTTCCCAGGAAGCTTGCAGCAAAGTAATATTTCAATGGACCTTTTTTATTTACTGTGATCATATACAGTTTCCAGTACCCAGAAAGTAATAGGCTTCATTCTGTTTGCAGAGTTGAAGGAGGAGTCATTATTGATCACTGCTAGACTTTAATACTCAAATTTATCCATGTCACAATTTGTCTGCAGAAATTGTCTACTTAAATCTTCCCGGAAAAATTTTTCTCATTGGCTTATCCAGGATTGATGGCTCACAAAGTGCAATGTTCATGGTTCCCCATTGTTTGGGGAGTTTACTAAATTTAAGGATACAAGTGTAGTGATTTCAAGAACCTTGTGTCTCAAATTCTTATAGTTCTTGTTGCGTTTTTGGATCAAATTGCCTAGTGTGATTCTTTGAAGTTCTGAATTTTGCGTTCGCTGACCTGCTTCAACATCGGTGTCATTTTCTTTCATTTATTTACTTGTATTAGAAAATTTCAGTAATCAGTATTTCAGCAAGACTGGTCGCCGCCGTGAAGATCTTGCTATCTTACCTATTTAGCGTGTTTAACTTTTCAACGCCCTCTATCGCAAAAGATGGGAGAAAAACGGAAGCCCGCCACCGCCACCGAAATCGATCCTGGTTTCTTTGCCCTCTCCCCGCATCACAGCTTTCATTTCCTTCTTGTGCGGTAGATTTGCTTATATTGATATATTAGACTAGTCGAAAGCCCGTGTTCAGACAGTGAATGTGGATTTTTTGTTTCACTGGATGGTGATTGCTGGAAAAAAAATAGTTCTCACGGCTATCACTTTGGAAATCACGGCTAAACGCACTGGGAAAATGCCACCGAGCCAAACCCTTGCCGAATGTCTTTGCCGCTGATCGTATTCGGAATGTCTCATTTGCTCAGAGTACGCGGGAACGTTCGGCCTCGGTAATTCGTACTTGAGAGGGATCGACATCAGTATCGATCCCAGACGCGATTCGCTTTCTCCTACGATCATGGATGCGAGGGAATTTTCCTGTTGTTTTTCTATCGACGTGTTTGTGGCATGATAAGGGAATTATTTTTGTAGGGGAAAAAACTTGATAATTTAGGCCAAAAAAAAAATTATTTGTCCGTAAAAGCCCCAAGGGACAGAATAAAGACGCACTCAGACAGGCATGAAAATGCACGATAAACACGAAATTTCAATCGCAACCATATCTTATGAGGCAATATTCTATTATTGGAAAGCGAACCCATTCGGCACAACAGCATCGGGTCAGCGTTGAGCGTAGACTGAGTTTTCAATGTAGGAATGTTCCCAGTAAACATAGCGTTGTGGGAGCGTTCCCCTAGAGTCAATACAATGTCATCGATGTTGAAGGTCCCTCCCCGCGCCCCCCCCCCCCTCAGGGCGGTCCTGGTTACCACCCTAGTAACACCAAATACTGGCTCAATGCTGGACCAACATCGAGCACGATGTCTTGACATCTTGTCATTGCCAATACGGTTTAAATATTGGCTTCCTGGTATTGCCATTCCATCATGGATCCAATATCCAATGACACGATGGTCCATTGTGTCCAAGTTTCGCGGATAATTTTTTTGCGGAAATTTTGAAGTTCTCCTCTTAGCCGCGAAATGAAGGTATGGATCTCGCTTTTTGCTCAGTACGCTAAAGTGCACTTCTCTCTTTCCATAGAATCATCCCTCACAGGAGTGTTTAGTACCTCACCATATGTTTTTCTTGGTCTCATTATAGCAATCAATAAAATCGGACACTTAATCATTTATTATCCCCATATTCGAGACAGAACCATGGAGCCCAGGTGATAAACAAGCTCATCCTCCGTATGAGAACCCTTGCATGCCGGTTAACTAAAGCTTGAAAGGAGTTTCTTAATGCTCTTTTACGTACGGTGGCTCTGACCTTTGTGTTCTCATCTCTGGGAGCAGAATGATCATTCTTTTACCAGGGGAGGAAAGGTGGATTCGAGTAAACTGCAGAGCAGAAAAGGGAGGACAGACCCTTGGAACGTACCAAAATTAGTACATTCAGAAATATATTGTTTAGAGGATCAATAGGACTCTACTGTATACTCTCAGTCCCTGAAAGATCTGCTGGTAGGTCGGCTCCTTAGAGGTTAGAAAATTCCTCACAGTTTTCGTCTCAATTGTAATACCCCTTCACCAGACCCATTAGTAGCATGTTGAAAATAA